AGTCAAGAAATCAGTACAGAGAAGATCAGGTAATGGTCATTTTATAATGTGGTATTTGCAATGAGTGTCTTTTAAAGGCAAATTTTAACACACTCTGATTAATTTTGTTTTTCAGGCAAACCATGTAGAAATGGTACAATTTATGAGTGTACTTAATATGCTTGTGGGAAAACCAAGTGTTTTCTGTAACAGAGAGAGCAAACCAAATACCTAGTGTAGTAAAAACTGACAAGTTATGTGGTATACCAAAACAATAATGTTTTGGTATATAGTCACAGCTTCATTCAAAATGAATATTATGTACATTTTTCTTTTTCATTGCCAGCATAAATGCTTCAAAAGAAAATCCCAAATACCCTGGACTGTGAAGTATGCACAGTGCTAAACTGAGCTAACAAGAACATCCTGCAACTAAAAAAAGAAAGAACAGTCTTCTGTGCATCAGGAATAACAAAAGAAGCAAGAACCACAATCATTATATTAAGCTGTGCAGCCAGTTACTAAGTGCTAATCAATAGACACAGATTTAGAAACAAACGTAAGTCCTTTCCAGTAACAGAAGTAAGCAGAGGGTTCAGAAATAGCATAGCAACAAACCTGCTCTGCCTGGAGGAAGCCATTTCCATCACTCAGGCTCCACTGCCGTCAGCAGTGACACACACAGGCCCTGGAAATGGTACTGCTTCAGCACTGACTGCATGCAGCATTGAGGCTTTTCTGCTCCCAAATTACACACACTTGCCTTTTTGTCTGAGCAGAAATGTCTGTTTAAAATTGTACTCACGGTAAGATTTATGTCCTACCTGGCCTGGAGCCAGCAAGTGACAAATTGATTTTGTACAACATGCATAAGCCTAACGTTTTCCCTCTCAGCCAGAAGTGCCTTTCCAGATTCTCAAGTGTTGCAGACTTCTGAACCTTCATCAAGTGCTTGTGCTTGCCTTCCAGTATGGTGGGCACAAGCTCAGGGTGAGCAGCATCTAAACTCTACCCTGGCTTTTGGACCTCTGCACTCCTGCTCAGAGTGTTTTTCCTCAACACAGTGTGCCCGCAAGAGCCACCCTCCAGAGAAAAGAAACCCCTCTACCCACACCATACAGGTGCATTGGCCCTGGCCCTGCCTCCCAGCAGCCCAAGTTCCACAGGTTAATGATAGCTCAAGAAGTTAGAATAAAACAGGCTTGCACAAATTTCTGACAGACCTGAGCCTTGCTTAGCAGCACCTGACACACAGCTCTAGATTACCCTCACAGCTCACTACATCCTCATGAAACTGAGTTTTCTTTGGTTCATATCCATCCCTTAGTGAGTCCAGAGGAGTTCTTTTCCTTCTTCAGTTTAAGGCCTTGTCTTCTTTTACTTTCAGAGGTGAGGAGGGGAGAGGGGCATTTTCAGGGTTCAGTTCACGCCACATATGCATACCTGCTGAACGGACTGACTTGCCTTCTGGAGGTTACTATCTCTCCCCACTTACCATATAAGAATTTTTATTTAGACTTTATTGTAGGGAAATGTTAGATAAGACAAAAATCAAGATGCATTAAGCTACTGCAGATGCCTGAAATCCAAGCAAAACCCTAATGCCATCAAAATATTTAGAAATGTCCAGACAGATGTGCAGATTTCCTGGTCACCTGAAGGTACTAGAGCATCAGTGCAGGAATTGCTTTAGGTCTTTATGTCAGACAGAAAATTTTGCTATAGTATTTCAGAATGTCCTGTGCTGCATTTTGTAATTCAGAAGAAGCTTCCTCTTGGTATAAGAAAAGATAGGACTTTTACATCTGGAAAATTTCCAAAAGCTTAGTAAAGCTGAGAAGTCAAATTAAATAGTGATTACATGTTTTCAACAACATTGCACTGGCAGTGATCTGTGTCTCCTTTCTTCATACCAGCTGCTCCTTGTACAGAGATTGCCTGAGTTACCCCCCAGACAATTATAATTTTGTAGTAAATCCTCTGAAGTTAAGGTGGTGTAGTTCTGGTGACTATAAATAGAGAGTCAAGCGTGACAGAGCTGCACTTAGCCAGGATCTGTACTGTTCGACTGTGTCGTGACTTTTGCCTTCATGGTGAGGCTTAAGAGATGTTCATGCAGACTGAAGTCAAAATGGATGGCACTATCCTTCATCTTGCAGGTGCATGTCCCCCTCCTGCCTTGTGTTGACAAAGTATTTGTGACTGTGCCATCAAAGAGATCAGCAAGCTGATCCAGCTGAAAACTTGCCCTAGAAAAATAGCAGATTGTTTTTCAGCTGGGTCAGTGGGCTGATCCAGCTGGCTGCAAGATCAGACAAGGTGCTGTTCCAGCACCTGAGCTTAGTGAAACTGTGCCCTGAGAGGTAGCTGCGACTATACAGAAAGTAAAAAAACTAATATGCCCAGCAAATCCTTGAGACAAATCCCAAGTCTGTATTATACTGACAGGAGAAGCCATTAAGGTAACTCAGTGAGTTAAGACTAATGGGGAGATCAGCATGGTCATATGTGTCAGGAAAGCTCAAAGAGGCAGTCTCAACCATCAACTCTTCTTAAAACCCACAAATATTACACTGGCAATTTTGAGGAGGTGCATCAAGATTTAGTGACTTTGAAACCTTAGCACACTCACAGTGCTAAGGCAGATCACTGTCTTAAAGGGTTTGTGGCTCTGGATCTCATTATGTTTTGCTGAAACCTGCTCAGAATTATTAGCCTCAAGAGAGTTGGTGCCTATGTAGTTGGTATCACACACATTTAGATCAAGTAATTTGGTATTTCACAACAAATGTAATTTCTTTAGTGTGACTAGAATAAGGGGATCCTGGCCTTGCTGTCCTTGCAGTTGGAAATTCAAAAGGAGACATCTAAAACTGCAGGCTCTGAGAGGCATATGTAGACTTTGAATTGTGTGGTTTGATCATCCTTTTCCTTTTTTTTATTTTTTTGTTCATGTTGTGCTTGGAGAAATGACCAAAAGCAATTTTTGCAGATCAGCTCAGGTTGTTTATTGAGAGTCTTTTTGGCAGAACAGGACAGAGTTTTGAGTTTTTCTCTCAACCATCTCAGCTCATGAATATGGCCTTAAGGCCAAACTGTTCCCTCTTTATACGCCTATATACAATACTCAAGCAAACAAAATGGAATGGCACACTGGAAAGCTTTTAGACTCTTGCACCATTTAGCACAGTCTTTTTAGCTGTCTGCACTGTTTACTCATCCTCCTGCACCACTGACAGTAAAAGCCTGCAGGAATCCTTTTTCTTTCCTATATACTTTTTTTCTCCAGCTGTCTGTTTCTGCAGACACAGCAGCATAACCAACTCAAAGAAAAACAAACCAAAGCGACTTTTCAATTCCAAGCCTCTGCAGGACAGGCTGCTTGTGTGAGGCTGAAAAGGAGCCAGAGCACACCAGCAAGGAAGCTGTGATTTCATCCAGCAGTCTGACAGAAAATCCAAGGTTCCACTGCAGCAGTTTGTGCAGATGCAGCAGCCTCCCTCTGGCTGGGTCCATGTCAAATGCTAACAGAGGAGTGCCCAGGAGGTGGATACCCATGTAATTCTATCCCTTTGCTTTTTAGTAGCAACTCTCTGAGGAAACCAGGTATGCTCTACAGGTTTTTAAACAGTTTTTATTCCTTATGATTGTGGCTAATTTCTAAGGAAAAGGGAAACTGCCAGCAAAGGGGGAAGACGATTGAGAGGAAGAAAGCTCCCCAAAGAGGGTCATTCTTCTTGCCATGGAGTGGTGGTAGTGGTATGTGCAGGAAAATTAACCTGAGTGCAGGTGCCTGGGGAATTTGCCTGGGATGCAAGTTAGCAGGGAGGTCTCTGGTGAGGTCTGGCATGAGGACTCAGGGATGATTAGCACCTGAGTCACACATGTCTTGGTGTTTGCCCGGGGACTGATATTTGTGGTTTGGTATCTGTGCATCAGCTTGTATGCTAGGTCAGTTTGGTAGGGGAGAAACACTGATCAGGTAGGGCAGAAGGTTTAGGATGGTGTGTGCTGGGTTGGGGAAACACTAAAGATTATATCAAACCCATTTGCACCAGCATGACTCTGGAATGACTCTGCTGACAGCAGTAAAGTAACACTGACAAAACTGTGAACAGCATTTTGCCTTATACTGTGAAAGCAAGAAGATTTGGCAGAGGGCCTGGATGGGTGCTGGGAGGTACTCTCAGAATGTATGTGTCTCTGCAAAAGTGTGTGCCGATTGCTGGATAGATGTCTGAAGCCCTACAAGCATGCATCACCCTTCACAGGAAACAAAGAGGCTGCTGCACTTCAGACAGCCTACCCACTGAATTATTCAATGCAACTAAATAACTACAGAGCTCCAGTGAGTTACGTAAAACTGCAAAACTGGCTCACTCCCTTGATTTGAATCAATAGTATTGCCTCTTTCTGATCACTGCTTTATAGTAGCAAATCCCTGGCTTGGGCAGTGCTTAACACATTTGGAGATAGAATTGAAAACATAGTGAGAGGAGCATGGAGGTGAACTGACAGAACACTGTAAGAAAGGTTCTTGCTGAGCAACAGTCTCTTGCTCCTTGTGAGAAAGTGACAGTGTCTGAAATAGAGCATGTTTTGTGCCCTGTTGTGTCTTCAGAGCTAATGCCTGCCCAAAAATGCTAATCTAGAGACAGAAAACCAGAAAAACACAATGGTTGAGTGTTGTTACAGAGACTACTTCATGTGCTGGGTTTATTCCAAAACAGGCAATGCAAACCCTGCAAACCATCCGTGGCTGGCTCTCTTGCACCCTTTCGCTTGCCCAGGATCATCATTCCTCTTGTCAGATTCCCCCACTGTGCCAGAGCTGAAGATGTATCATGGTTTTAAGTCCAGCTGGAGATGAAACACCCCACAGCCTCTCTCTTAACACCTAATGGAATGGGGAGAATGCAAGTGTCCTGGTTTAGGGTGAACATTTTATTAACTGAAAATAAATCAAAATACAATACTAATACTAATACTAATACTAATACTAATACTAATACTAGCACAGATAATACCAATAATAACAATAATGGAAAAATCCAAAGTGATGCACAATGTAATTGCTCACCATCTGCTGACCAATGCCAGACCCCCCTTCCTAAACCCAGATCAGCTGTCCTCCCAGGTGACTCCCCCAGTTTATATACTGAGCATGACATTCTGTGGTGTGGAATATCCCTTGGTCAGTTTGGATCACCTGTCCCAGCTATGCTCCCTCCCAGTTTCTTTTGCTTATCTTCTCACTGGCAGAGCAAGGCACAAGGAAAAAAAAGCCCTTGACCAGGGATAAATGACTTAGAAAAAACCAAAACATCGGTGTGTTATCAACACCATTCTCATCACAAATCCAAAGCACAGCACTGTAATAGCTACTGAGAAGAAATTAACTCTACCTTAACTGAAACCAGGACAATATCCACCCCTTATTCCATACCTTTATATCATGCCAAGTTTCACACTGCCCAATATCCCATCACCTTCCCTATTCATCTGTTCTGATAGATATACATACAAATATTATTCTCTTAGTCTATGGAATGCCTCTGTTAAATGTTCATAAAACATCCACAGACACACACAAAAAAAAGTTTGTTGAATTCTTTTACTCCATGACTTTGGCCTCCATCTTTGATAACAGTCCTTCAAGCAGGAAAGATGGTGTGAGGTGTTGGATTGTTGCACGGTGCATATTTGAGTCAGTTCTCATTCCAGCACTGCTGTACTGGTTCTTTTTCATCCAAGTTCATTCTTCATTGGTGTGAATGTGGCCATCAGAGGGATGCCAGCCTCAGATTCCCAGAATGCTCGTGGCTAAGATTGATGCCATGACATGCTCATTGAGGTGATGCACATGTAGCCACCATGGAAGTGCTAATATTACCATTGGGTAGTTATAACACAGCGTAATTAATTGTTTATTTTCACCCAAAGTCAAATCCCTTTGAGGCACACTAGACTTTTAAATCCTGCCATATCACCCACCAAGTGCATCCAGGTTTTTTAGCAAAAGCAGTCCCATGGATGGGTTTGCCTTTGCATGAGGCAGGAATAATCCAGGTTTTCCCCAGTGTGTTTTTAACGTGTACTACAGCAACTTTATCCACTTCTACAGTATGTAAAAGTTTTGATTGGGCAGGGCCATCCCAATTGGCCCTCTAGTGCTCACTAACAAAGTGGCTTTTGCTGAACGTGTACCCCAATGTTTTGACATCCCACCACCCATTGCTGTCAGCATAGTCCTTAACAGTCCATTACATTACTGGATCTTTCCAGAGACTGGTGCACGACAGGGGATGTGATACAACCACTTAATGGCATGTTCTTTGGCCCAAGTGTCTCTAAGGCTGTCTTGGAAATTAGTTCCATTGTCTGACTCAGCTCTTTCTGGATTACCATGTAGCCATAAGATTTGCTTTCCAAGGCCCAGGATAGCGTTTCTGGGTGCTGGCACTCCTGTGGCTGCCTCCACCATCATAAGCACATGGCACTTGCCACCATGGGACTGGCTGAGTGTGATACAGGCAACCTGCCAGGCCTCCCCATACTTACATTTCAGCCGTCGCCCTTTACACCAAAGAGGCTTTACTTGCTCAGGCTGCTTGACTGCAGCAGGTGTTTGACATTCACAGAGAACCTGAAGCTGTTGGTACCAACAGGGAACCAAACATCTCTAAATATCTGGAGCTGCTGGGCTGGGAAGAGCAGTTTGTCCCCATTAAAGCAGCTCAAGGGGAATGTCCTGTTTGCAATGCTGACATAAACACCCACAAACACTGTGACTGCTGGGGAGCAGGCACTGAAACCACCCCTCACCTCCCCTGATACCACACCTGTACCTTCATGGGGGAGCCATGAGCCGTCCCAGCATCAGAGGAGTGTTTGAAAGCACCTTTGTGATTGCTCTGTGTCTGCTTCACCAGCAGCTAAAGAGCACCCTGAATGCTGCCTGGCATTCCGTGATGCAGGTGGGTTACTCCTTCTGAAGATGGAGATACCCAATGCCCAGGAAAAAAGTGTTTGCAAATATTGAACATTTATCTTTGCTGAATTACCTTTTCTTTTCCAGCAAAGTCACTAAGAAATTAATTGCTGGACTGGAAATAGAACTATTAGATTGATAATCAGAAATCACAGGGAGAAATGCAGTATCAGTCTTATGCAGAAATCTTTTAAACAGCTTTCTTTGTTTGCTTTATGTAGCATTAATACATTGGTAAAAGTCATAGTCAGTTTGCAAGAAAATTGTAATGCTTGCCTCATAATTTATTCATAGTCTTGTGATTAATAGTCTGTGTGGTTGACCTGCATTATCTATTTTTCTTTAAAAAACCATCAATAAAAAATAATCAATATGGAGTGACTATATTTATGAAAGACCAAGTTTTGCTGCTGAATCTTTCTAATGTCATACTGACTATACTGAAACTCACGAAATTTAAAGAGGTCAAGCCTTAAAACAAAGGTTGCAGAAATATTGAACAAATTGGTAGAAAATATAATATATAATGTGATTAGCAGGTGTATAAATACATGTGATATTATGAAGAAAATTTGATATAACTTTTATAGAAAAAAAAATCTCACAGCTTGATGGAGTCTTTTGGGGAGAGGAAGGAGATGGAAGTCCCCAGTGAAGTCTCAGAAGTCTGCCTCTTGAATTGTATTGTTTGACATAGAAGTTATCTGAAAAAAGAAGCATAGTCTGAGGTGAGAGATGGAAAATTCCTCTAGATATCAAAAATGAAAGCCAGGGAAAAAAAGTATTTAATGCTCTGAGTTATTTGGTTTAAATGGCAGAAAAAAACAATGTTGTCAAAGGAATCCTAACATTGTGTGCAGAGAGAGAAGTGCTGAAGAGAGAAGTCCTGTTACTTGGGCAGAAGAGATCCCTGAGTTATGACAGTTTTATAAAGGGCAAGAAAGCTGAACAAATGGTACACAGTGAATGATTAAATAGCTGGGGACTCTTCAGAGTGGAACAAAAGAAGCAGATGGGAGATTTGACAAGGAGTCCTAAAAACATAAGCAGAGTAGAGAGAGGAACCATAGAGTCATTATTCCCTCCTTCACAAGGCAGAACTAGAGGAAACTAAGAGAAATGTGTGGGTACAAGGTCCAAAAAATTTAAAAGAGGTGCTTTTTCACCAGACGTGCAATTCAACTTTAGAACACTGCAGGACTTGGTGGGTGCCAGAGGCTTTTGGGGGCTCACACAGCTACTGGACAAATCAATGGAACAAAAATGAATGAAAGTCTATAAACCATTTGTCCCAGCATGTTCTTGAACTGGAGAATGTAACCTTCTGCAGGCAACTGATGCCAAGCTGAACAGGTCTGCTGTGATCCAGACTGGCCATTTTGAAGATAAATCCATCAGGAAACTGAAACAGTGAAAAAGACACGGAAGTATTTGCACTGAAACAAAGCCAGAAACTGTCCCTGTGTGTCAAACTAAACAGCAATGAAGCAAGTTTAGCTGTCACTAGAATACTGAGCAGTATCAGATGGTTCTGTGTCCAGGCAAAATAAATAGCGTTTTCTTTCTTGCAAGTAAGAAACGGGGAGATACACCAGGAGTGTGAGAAACAGGATGAAAGGATTAAACATGAAAGCTTGGCTAAGCTTTATCCAAACAAATATATACTCCCATTGCCCCTACCATACAGTTGATGGGGTTTGGACCTGCAGTTCCCAGAGCTACCATTCTGATGATATGCTCCTTTAAAAAACAGATTGTTATCTTGACAAATTCTTGGGGATAACCTTTATTAGGATATGAATGGATAAGCAAATTATGTCAGAAATGCACATCTGTAAACAAGGTCACTTTCAGCACTTTTTCAGCATGCTTTTGTGAATTTCCTATTTTTGTATTGTTTGCTCTTTATAAAATATCTACCCATTCTAAACTCACAAATACAATCCTAATTTTTCAAGAAGAGCAGTGCAAAAATCCAGAAATGGTGCATAATAGGTGAAAATGAAAATTTCTAGGACTTTTCAAATGAACCACTACCAAAAAGAAGTTCTTATTAAAAAAATTTAGTTTCTATGAATTATGCAATTTCATAGCATTGATTGGGAAAAGATAGTATAAAGCATGTGGGTTGTTAAGAACTTTTTGCAATGAATTAGGAAGACAGTATTTTCCTCTGGGTTATAGATCCAGCTAAAGGCAATTATGGGCTTAATGGGGACGTGAAAACTGCAGTCTGACATGCTTTTAAGGAGATTTCATCTCAGTTTCACCTCTTGAACTGACTCACTTCAAGAACACATCCTTTGCCTGACTGTTTACTGCAAAAGAGGTGTGAGTTGTTAGACACAAGACAATGTGTAACTGTAAGAGACTATGATCTGGTGTAATTTACAAGCCATGAGTAGGTGCAAATTGAAACTCAAAGTCCTGTCTATATATTTTTAAACTATTTGCATTTCTCATTAGGCTTCTCTCTTTCTTTGTAGTGGGAATTATTCTAGCCTCAATCATTTCTGCACAAATCAAGTTTTCTTACATCATCCAAACTCACTTCACTAAAGGCAATTTAATTCTAGTTCAACATACATTGCAACCAGTGATTTAGCTCAGCTGTTTCTGAGTAAACTTTAAATTGGAATAATTCCTTCTAAATGGAGAAGCCAAGGCTGATCAATGTAGACTTTGAATCAGACTCGCTGATTCAAAACTGATAATGCAAGTAATTTTTAATTATTTCATCTAGATTAGACACTGAACAAATTTAGGGGTCATATAACATGTTTCCACCAGGCTATCTGGCTACCTCCTCTTCTGTTCTGGAAATGGGCCCTAGAACCATCAGCAAAAAACATTCTGATGTCAGAATGTGCTGAATGGGAATAAATGCAATGAAAAATCAAGCACCAATGGAAATCAAGTCCTGCTTGCAGTAGGCAAACCTAAAACAAGGATTATAAACAACTAGGGAAGACTTTCCACAACTCCTGTGCTTCAAGCTACTTTTGGAAGCATTTAATTTCACCTTTGCTTTCTACCTACTAGATAATGTTTTTCTTTTGTCTCTTGTCTTTCTATAACATTGAAGACAAACATGAAGAATGCAAACATGAAGAGTGTTCAGTCTGTATTTCTTTGTCCTTGAATTCATTCAACAACTTACTCCTCCAACTTTGATTTGGAAGTGAGTAGATAATCAAAGACTGTTTCTCCTCATGATATAGATAGACCCATACCTCAACGACTATGATTTTTTGATTTTTTTTTTTTTCCACAGACCACTTTGATTTAAGATCATGGATTTAAGACACATATAATATTAATTACTTCACAGTTTTATATATTATTTTATCATTAAAACACAGGTAAATTTCCCAAGACAGGTACCTACCTACTAATTGAAAAGGAGAGAAAATGAGACAGTAAAAGTGGCTTATAAAATCTAGGCCTTACATTACATTACCTTTGCAAGGCTTTTGGCTGAAACCTTTATGATGAGTGTAGATGGAGTTGAAACCTTTATGATGAGTGTAGATGGAGTTGTATTGAAAAATTACTAGTGGGTACTTAAAAAATTCCAGGAAGGGACAGTGGCTCACTGAACACTAAAATTTCAGAAACATTGACCTCAATCCACTCTCTGTGAACATTAATGCCAGACACTGAAGAATTAGACTACCAGTGTGATCTGTGCAGGCCTCAGTGCTGTGGGCTTATTCTGTTATCCAGGAGAACAGTAGGGAAATACCACTTGTATTCTTGCTCCTTGCTTGTTTTCCATCTTATCTTCTCCAACTATGGAGAAGAGAAAGAATTATAGTAGAAACCCAGGAAGAATTATGCTGAATAACTTCAAGTGAGATTCAGGTGCTGTTTGTAGGATAGAGGGAGACATCAGTGAACCATTGATGCTCGGAAGAACCAGGCTTGATTTGAAGTTATTCTAGTATGAACTGGTGTCATTCTACTCACCTTCATGGAGGTGCTGCAAATTTATATTGATGTAAATGAATTCAAAATGCTTAGCACTTTAGTAAAAAACTCTGATTTGAAAATGAAGAGCAGGCATAGTGTTGTATCTGTGCAGAATATTTAATTATTGTAATTATAAAAGAAATCTGCATGGCTGAAAGGTTTTACTTTGAAGCATTCAAGTGAGAAAAACATTATCATTCTGATGAAATCTTTAATTGTCCCTACTTGTCTTTCTCAACAATATTTTTAATCTAAACAGTTTGTAAGCTTTTTTTAACAGACATGATAACTGTTCAGTGCAGTTCTACTTAGGCTATGACATACTTTCCTTCTAAAGATTTTAGTAAATACCTTGTGAAGATTCACTCAGATGTTTATATGTAATGGCGAATTCTCTCCTGAAAACTCTTATTTCCAGTAAAATTTATGTTACAAATCTGAAATGTTCCCATTCTTTGCACTGTAAAATCTAATATTCCAAGGGTGAGTTGATGTGCTGTTGGCCACTGGCTTCATTTTCATTGCTGCTATTACAGCTTTGCTGTACAATCACACAAGGCATTGTACAGCCTGCTTAGCTTCACTGGTCTCCTTGAGAAACTGTAGATAATGCACAAATGTCAAGCACTGCTTTTGCTTTGTCCTACATCTGCTCCTGAGGAAAACTGGGCAGCAGCAGAGGGAACAGCAAAGAGCCTTGGAGCTACTGGCAGCCAGGAGTTTTGTGGGAGAGGCCAATAGAAACCTCTGTCTTCAGGGTGCTGTCAGTAGTGAGAAGGGACAAACACATACATTCATCCCCTGGCAACTGTAAGATCTGAAAGATAAAGTAGTGATATCTCTTCTTTTCAGTAAACAGGAAGTCCTAGTTCCGAGGTAGAAGAGGCTTCTCTTTCTTCTCAGCTGCAGAAAGTGGAGAGGATTTGCGTGAGCATTATTAGGGCAAGGACTTCCTGAGCCTGGGTTTGGGAATCTTGGCTCACTTTCCCCTCCAGTAGCTGCAGTGCCAGATGGGATGGGCTAGACTGAATCCTACCACAGTCTCCAAGACTTTAAAATAAACTGGCTTAAAAGTAGGATTTAGTCTGCCTGAATTAGCAACTGTCATTTAAACTCCAGGACACTGATTGAACCACTTTTCCCCCAAAGTTCTCTGTGGCCACTGAAGAGGCTTGGGTGCCAAAAGCCACTTATCTCTCCGAGCTTCTCAAGGATGGGCACCTAAGCAGGGACATGTGGTGTCCCCGGGGCTCCCACACCTGCAGCTCTGTGACTGTGCTGTGTAACCTTGCCTAGCAGCAAAGCAGAAGGCCAGGTTCCTTTCCCTTCCTTCCTATTCTATTGGAATATTGGTGGCACTTGCCTAGGACTGCTTTTCTTCAGGGATTTAAGCAATTTTTGAGTGCAGAAGTGTTGCCTAGGTGCTTAAATCTCAGAGAAAAGCACAGTCTTGGGGTCTGCACAGCTAGTCCTTGCAAGGAAGTTTCTCTCTTGGCTTGGAATAGAGATCTGTTTGGCCCAGTACCCATCTGACAGGGATAGCTTGCTCCCTGTCAATAAGGTGAGCACAAACGTGAACAACAGCCAAAAGCAGGTGCCAAGAGAAAAAAATAAGAAAGGTGGCCATAAGTAGATGCCATGAGAAAAAGCATGAGAAGCAGGGTGTACAGGCAGATTGAAGTTTATATTTGCAAGACTTAACCGCTGTTACCTCGCGTGTATCTAAACTTACTTTGGCAGGTGGGTCCTGGGATCCTGCTGTTTGAAGCATTCCCAAGATCTGGCTCTGTCCATCCGTGTAATCCTTGCAGGCAGCCTGGCTTAAGTTTTACAAAGCCAATATGACACCAAGGTAGCCAGCAGGCCCTAGGATGATAAGCAAAATGCAATTACACAGTCCTCACCAGAAAAGGCAGCAAAGGTCAGGGAATAGGAGGCCAATGCACCAGGCAGAAGCATAGGGATGTGAGAAAGATGCACTTGTGCACCCTCCGTATGTACATTTTTCTGATTTCAAGAATCAGGATGGTGATGCCAAGCCTAGGCATGCATGAATATGAAGCATATTCCTATTAACATCGCCTGCACCGCATTGCTCTCATTTTCATAAAATTACTGAGTGCCCCGGCCGTGCAAGGTGAACTCCTGAAGCAGGCGGGAGCAGTGACGTGCAGCCAAGGCTCACTATTTATGTATTTGCCTACGCGAACCTGTTCTGTCAGAGAGCTGTTCGACCAGCACTCAGGGCAGCCTTTTCTTCCGGGCATTCCAGCCGAGTGCCAAAGCCGAGCCCCGCAGCCCTAAACCTGCTCCAGGAATCTACCCTGAGCAAACACCAAAACAGAGCGCAAACCCATCCGTGAGCCAACGCAGCGCTGCGGTGACAGCGGCTCGCAGCAGCCCGGCAGCGCCAGGCGCCAGCGGGCGGATGGCCACGGATACGTGACACGCATGTTAAGGGCGTTTCTAATGTTGACATTAAAGCCGGGCAGGGTGGCGGCGGCGGAGTGAACCGCTTTAGGGGGGCATCTCCCGCCCGCTCGGCTCCCCAGCGGGAGCTGCAGGCCGGCCGGCTGCCCGCCTGGCACTTGCCGGGCGCTGTCAGGGCCCGAGCACAGGAGCAGGGGGA